ATCCGCTTTGTCCACATTCATGATTATGATAACCAGTAACAACTAAGACCTTGGGTACATTCTCCACTACAAGAGCTGACTTACATCTCACGGCACCCGAGGTGCACTCTCTCTGAGGCTGTTAGCGAAACTGTGACCCCTATTTCCTGGCTGCACACAAATACGGCGTCATTAGGTTGTTATGGTGACAACGGAATATTTTTTACTTAGAACTTATTCCGCGGTTCCACCTAAGAGTACAACTATATGTGATTGGTCCTCCTAATTTATGCAGTGCATGTGAAGCTCTGCAATGAAATCGTGGACAAATTTTGTCCAAATACGTGTGCCCATGAAAAAGCACTAAATCCTGGTACTTTTCAGAGCGGTTTTAGTCTCTTGAATGCCACCGTCTTTCTTGTTTAAGACAATTTTCAAGCACTGAGGCTTATTAAAAATCAACGAGAAAACATGCATCACAGAGAAGTCAGATCAACCTTTATACTTACTCCTCATATATAAGCAGACACTGGCTTCACTTTTAAAAATTCAGATGCCACAAGCGTCAATAAATGCAGCATGAAAATTGGTACACATCAGCTGCATCTAGAAAACTGAGGGTCATGCGATTGCACGTTCATTGGCCATATATACTGAATAAAGAGCAGCTCAAGCTTGCATCTAGTAGCAAAGATAAAAGCGTAGAGTTAACTAAGACAGTGCTCCCTGAGTCCATCGTCTGGTCACTTTTGTTGTGGAGCTAAATCAATGCTCTTGTTTCCACAGCACAGCAGATCGATGCATATTAAATGGAGATTTTCCTCAAAGCTCCAACCTCAGTCAGTAGTGCTGCCAGTGGCCCAAAAATAGTTAATAAACTGGTTAAAGTCGGTATCTGCGCATCAACCCAAGGGAGGGGTCCTCTCCACGAAAGCCCTTTTGTGGACACAATGTGCCAGTGTAGATGGGTAGGTACTGTACCCGGATCCCAGAAACGGTCATTTTAGCCCTCGCAGACTTTTCGAGCATTAAGCGGCCCTGGTGTATTTTGTTTCAGACGATTTTACGGAGCCCACTCTGGACCGTAAGTGGTGAAGCGATACTTGGCCGAAACAGAGTGCAGAGTATAGAGGTGTCCCTACACATGCTGACCCCTGATGGTGGTTAGGATTTGCTAAAAACTTGCTCAGTGTATTATCCCTCAATATGCCAACTGAGGAAATGGCCATTGCTTTATACTGTGCTCCGTAAAGTAATGTATGCACCGATGAAATTTATAGGCATTTTAAGTTATCCACATGATGGTATGACAATATGCACAGCTGAAGCATGTGTATGCAGACGTAAGGTATCGTTAAATTTTTGCTCAAAAAGCGACCCTAACGACTCATCAAGAAAGACGAAGATGTCATTGTCAATGGTTGTGAAGTCGGCAACACGAAGGGTTCCTAAATCAGAAGTCCAAGAAGACAGAATACGTTGGATCAGCTTTTTACCGAGATAAGAAGCGTGCAAAAACCGCATACTCTCAACTCATGTAGTTCCTCCTCTGTCTCCTCTTTCCCATCTGAAGGCTGTGATTGTTCAGCTCGCCGAACAGATAGTTCCTTTTTTAACAGCTTAATCCCGGAGTCCGTTCAGGTCATCTACTTGGTATGTCTACCCTCTTTCTTCATCTCGTCAAAATGCAGCCGTCACCTGCTAGTATCATACCACTTTTGGTCTCAGAGCTCGTAGCTGCACCCCCCTCTGCTCATTCGTCTCTCAGACGAGTAGACAGGTAAAACAGATTAGGCCGAAGGTCAGTGCGACCAATCTCATTGCGTCTGCAGAGCTGATCGTACCTTCTAGGTCTGTGACATCCGGAGTGGCGGGCGTTTCCTGGTTGATACTGGTGTTCAGGTGAGCGCTACCCCCCCC